TAATAATATTTAATATGCCAAATCCTGGTGTGGTGTTGTGACTTAATGTGCTGGACTGCAAAGTCAGTTTGAACCACAAGGTCATCAGTTCAAGCTCATCAGTCCTTCCTCAGAAACCCTATACAGGGTCACAATGGGTTGTAAACAACTCAACAGCACTTAACAACAACAATATGCCAAATCATGAAACAAAATAAGAACTTTTCTTCCTGTTCATTTGTATAATTTTGCAGAACATGATTACTAAAGTCCATGTGTGGTACAGTAGAATAAGAATAATGGATGCTAACCAGATGATTGGCATTTCAAACCCAACAGCTACTCCTCAGAAACCCTATACAGGGTCACTCACTATGACTTGGAACAGACTCAACAGCATTTACCAACAATGATTGCTAAGAAAGGGTCAGACCAAGGAGTCCTAAATTGCAATATTTTGTAAGCAGAAACTATTGTTCAGTTAGCAGGAGCCTCAAGACAAGAAGTTCTCAGATGCTTTGATACTATGTCATAAAATGCTAAAACAAGAAATCATTACAAAATCAAATGAATACTAGGCCTACCTATACTTGCACAGTGTGAAGTAGAAGACTTGAATAAACCTATAACAAATGAAGACATTCACCAGGTCACCAAAGAACTCCCAACTAAAAAAAAGTCCAGGTCCAGATGTCTTCACTGGTGAGTTCTACCAAACATTCAGGGAAGAGATATCATCAACTCAAATTATTCTAGAATACAGAAAAGTATGGAAAACTTCAGAATACTGTTTATGAAACAAGCATAACCCTCAAACTAAAACCAGGGAATGACATCACTAAGAAAGAAAATTATAGACCAATATCCCTCAAGAACATAGATGCAAAAACTCTCAACAAAATCCTAGCCAACAGAATTAAACACCATTAAAAAAAATAATACATCATGACCAAGTGGGATCATATCAGGGATGCAAGAATGAGTCAGTATTAGAAAAACAAGCAATGCAATCCACCATATAATTTTTTTAAAAAAAAGGAAAGAACTACATGATCATACTGATTGATGCAGAAAAGACATTCGACAAAATCCAACATCCATTCCTAATAAAAACGCTGAATGAAATAGGAATAAAAGGGAACGTCCTCAACATAATTAGGCACATAAACACAAAACCAAGAGCCAACATTACTCTCAATGGAGAGAAACGGAAAGCCTTCTCTTTGCAAACAGGAAACAGACAAGGATGCCCTTTATCACCACTCCTATTCAATATTGTGTTGGAAGTCTTAGCCACAGTTATAAAGCAAGATAGGGAAAGTAAAGGCATCCAAACTGGCAAAGAGAAAGTGAAACTCTCTCTATTTGCACATGATATGATCTTAGAAAACTCCAGAGACTCAGCAAAAAAAAAAACTACTAGACCTCATTGAAAGATTCAGAAAAGTGGCAGGGTACAAGATCAACATACAAAAATCAGTTGGATTCCTCTATACTAAAAATGACAGTGCTGGAAAGGAACTTAGGAAAGCAATGCCATTTACAATAGCCACTGAAAGGATGACATATCTAGGAATAAATGTAACCAGAGAAACAAAGGACTTATACAAAGAAAACTACAAAACACTGCTACAAAAAACAAAAAGAGACTAACAAAAATGAAAGAAAATACCATGCACCTGGATAGAAATAATTAACATTGTAAAAATGTCAATATTGCCCAAAGCAATCTAAAAATACAATGCAATCCCAATCCAGATTCCAAGGACATACTTCAAAGAGATGGAAAAAGCTATTACAAACTTTCTATGGAAAGGAAAAACACCCACGATAAGTAAAACACTGCTTAAAAAGAATAAAAAACTTGGAAGCCTCTCACTCCCTGATTTCAAAATTTACTGCATGGCTACAGTGGTCAAAACAGCCTGGTATTGGTACAATGAAAGATACATAGTTCAATGGAACAGAATTGACAATACAGAAATTGACCCATCGACATACAGTAAACTGATCTTTGACAAAGGACTGAAGAACAGTGAATGGGGAGGAGACAGTCTCTTTAACAGATGGTGCTGGCAGAACTGGAAATTGATAATTAAAAGATTGAAACAAGACCTCTATTGCACACCATATAGAAAACCCAATTTGGCATGGATTAAAGACCTAAATGTGAATCCCAGAATTATAAAGTTTATCAATGAAAAAATAGAGACAATTTTAAGGCATTGAATACAGGGAACCCACCACAAACTGTCAGTTTTTCATACTGTGGTGGCTTGTGAGTTGCTGTGATTCTGGAAGCTACACCACCAGTATTTTAAATACCAGCAGGGTCACCCATGGTGGACAGGTAACAGATGAGCTTCGAGAGGAATACAGAATAGAAAGGAGTGATGAACCAGTTCCGAATATTTAGTCACTGAAAACCTTATGAATAGCAGAGAAACCCTGTCAGATATAGTGCTGGAAAATATGAGTCCCTCAGGTTGGAAGGCACTCAAAATGCGACTGGGGAAGAGCTGCCTCTTCAAAGTAGAACTGACCGTGATAATGCAAATGGAGTAAAGCTCATGGGAGAAATGCCCGCAGTACTTTCATTTGCTGATGGGTTACAACTCAAAACGAAGAGAAATAGCTGTAAACTTCCATTAATAATCAGAATATGAAATGTACAAATTATGGATCTAGGAAAATTAGAAATTATCAAAAATGAAATGGAACACATGAACATTAATATCTTAGGCATGAGTGAGCTGAAATGGACTGGTATTGGCTATTTTGAATCTGACAGCCACATGGTTTACTATGCCAGGAATAACAAATTGAAGAGGAATGGTATTGCATTCATTGTCAAAAAGAACATATCCAGATCAGTCATGAGGTACAGCACTGTCTGTTATAGGATAATATCCATGTGCCTAGTGTAGTGGTTATGAATCAGGCTGCGAGCCTCAAGGTCAACAGTTCGAAACTACCAGCTGTTCCACGGGAGAAAGATAAGGCTTTCTGCTCCCATAAAGATTTCCAGCCTTGGAAACCCTGTATAGGGTCGCTATGAGTCAGAACTGACTCCATGGCACATAAGAACAACAACAGGGAAGACCAGTTAATACCATTATTCTACAAATTTATGCACCAACCACTAAAGCCAGTGAAGATGAAATAGAAGAATTCTACCAACTTCTTTAATCTGAAAATGATCAAACATGCCATCAAGATGTATTGATTATTAGTGTTGATTAGAATGCAAAGATTGGGAACAAAGAGGAAGGATCAGTAGTTGAAAAATATGGCCTTGGCGATAGAAATTATGCTGGATATCGCATGATAGAATTCTGCAAAATCAATGATTTGCTCATTTCAAATACCTTCTTTAGACAGCATAACAGACGACTACACACATGGCCCTCACCCGATGCAATACATAGAAATCAAATTGTTTACATCTTCGGAAAGAGACGATGGAAAAGCTCCATATCATCAGTCAAAACAAGGCCAGGGGCAGATTGTGGAATAAATCATCAATTGCTCATATGCAAATTCAAACTGAAGCTGAAGAAAATGAAAACAAGTCCATAAGAGCCAAAATATGACCTTGAATATATCCCATCTGAAATTATAGATCATATGAAGAACAGATTTGATACATTAAACACTAAAGACGGAAGACAAAAAGAATTGTGGGAAAATCAGTTTGATTATTCTATATAAAGAAAC